TTGGCCTAGGATATGTAGCCAAAAAATATTTACTAAACAAATAAGTTATAGTAAAAAAAAAAAAATCATTAACATCTATGGTGTCCCCATTCTGAGTCAGACAGCTAATACCAAATAGCTTATTTAAGCCAGGAATATAGAAGAGCAGCAGAGTGTGTGCTTAGCATGGTTCAGATGCTTGGACTAAAACAGAAAAAAACAAAATCAAATCCATTCTCCAGCCCTTGGAGAGATGGAATAACTCACCCAAGATCACAGCATTATTAAGTGGTGTGGCTGCCTCTTGAACCCTGAGAAACTAACAGGAAATCTTTATGGAGCACTTTCTGCTAATCCAGATATGAAACTGACTGTTTTACATAAATTATCTTATTTAACACACACAACGAGTACATAAAGTGAGCATTATTCTTATTCCCATTTATATATTAGATACTGGAGAAACAGAGGGGTTGAACGGCTTGTCCAAGGTGACAGCTTATGGCAGGGGCAGTCCTTGGGTGCTTCCTGCACAGGCAACCAGGTTAGCCACTGTCCTATCTTGCCCACATTCAAATGTGAGGCACAGAAAGAAGTGCACATTCAGACATAAATGAAGGAAGTACAAGGGACTTAGGCGCAGGTGTGATCTCCCGGGGAAGTAGGACAAAGCCAGCAAAGCCAGGGCTGCACAGACCTCATCCTGCTGAACCTAAGCAGGGCAAGCAGGGGTACAGGGAGCCTGTGGGCTTCAGGGCTCCTGCACTTGAGCTAATGCAGGATGCAAGACCTGCTCCATACCCACTCGCCTGACCATGCACAGACCCGGGGCAGGCACTGATCTGTAGCACCGCACAGGCTCCCAGACATGACCTCTGACTTCCTGAATCTTCCTCCCAGAGCCTTCCCTCTAGAGGAAGGAAAGGCCCATGCCCACCCCCTGAGAATACCCTGTTGGTTGAACCCTGAGCACCCCACCATTTGTCACCATCTTCACTGCTGTCATTGGTCCAGGTTACCATCATTTCTTGCCTGGACCATTGCACTCTCTACAGTGGCAACCACAGGGTTTCCTTGAAAGATATATCATACTCAGTCAGTGTACTGCTCACAGGCCCCGGTTCTCCATGGCTCTCAGGGTAAAAATGCGAAGTCCTTTCAGTGCCTTCACTGATGCTTTGTGATCCTCCCAGGTCACCCTGTCCTCTTCCTTCCCTGCATTCCCTCAGTCACACTGGCCTCTTGCTCCTCTTTCCCTCTCTTCTCCTAGTGTTTCCTTTTCTCCAGGACACCTCACCTCCAACATATTATATCACTTACTTATTTACCTGTTGGTTGTTTATCTTCCACCTCCTCCATAAGGGATTGTCATAGATCATTGTTATTTACCATGTAACTTCAGTGTCTAGAGCTATGCCTGGCACATAGTAGGAGCTCAATAAATAGCTGTTAAGTGAATTAATGAAAGGACTAAGGCAGCCTTGCTTCTGTGAGACATTGGAACAAGACCCTTTCCTTCTCTGGGCTCCAGTTCATTCTCTGTGATTCTACAAAGAAGTGAAGCCCAGAAGGTGGCCTTGGCCAGCTAAGTCCAGACTCCAGGTTCAATGTCTAAGTGCACATTGAGAACCCTGAGGTAGAATCTGCCAACCTCCCTGACCGCTCAGACCCAGAGCTGTGGGGTCACTTCTGGCAGCTGTGGGGATTGGGAGCGCCTCCACTGCCGCCTCCACTTTCTTCCCCAGGGAGGCAAAACTGGTCCAACATGTTTTGCTGGGCCACAGGGACAGCTGCTCTGTCAACTGAGACTTCCAAGCCACAGCCTAAGTCCTTTGACCCAGATAGCCTGTGCCCCACCTTCAGACAAAAGAAGACATGTCCTTTATTAGACACCACTTCTCAGGACTCTGGTCAGCTGTGTCTCAGACTAAAGGCAGATTGTTCCTGGGGGAAAAACACATCATTGGTCTCCTTGGGGCGGGAAGAAAGGATGGGCAATGTGTGCCTGGTTCCCTCCAAGTGCTGTTCATTCCTTTGACAAATACTGGTTGAATGACGCCTGGGCGGTTCTAGGGATGTGGATATAACCATGTCTCTGCCTTTGTGGACCCTCTGTTTCTAATGAAGATAACAGAAATAAAGGAATGCCTGATGGAATGTGAAGGATGATAAATTCAAACAAAACAGAGTAAGGATGTAGGGAATGAGTTGAGGACTATTTTAGGCAGGTTGACCAAGAAATGCCACTATGAGGACATGAATTTGCATCACTGAACAAATGAAAGAACCTGCCCTTCGGAAATCTGAGGGAAGAGCTTTCTGAGAGAGGGACTATCTGGTAGAAAGGCCCTGAGACAAGGATTAGCTAAGGTGATGGAGGAGGAGCAAGAAGGATAGAAAAAGAGGTTGAAGACTTAGTAGAGGCCTCATCAACATAGAACCTTGAAATCTATGGGGGGAGTGCTGTGTTTCCTTATAAAAGAGAACAGAAGCCACTGGAGGGTTTGAATAAGAAAGTGCAAAATCTGATTCTACATCTAGATTCAGGCTCTCAGGCTCTAGAAAACTTCCCTGGGGCTGTTGTCAAGGGACCAGATCATGATAGAGAAAGAGAGAACGCAAGGAGACCAGAAAGTTCATGGGACAGGCTGAGGAGGGATCAGCAGAAGCTGAGGACTGACTGAGAAGTGTTTCCCAATAAAACCCGTGTCCACAAGAGCTGGAAAGAGCCACACAGACCAAAAAAAGCAAGGAGCGAGGCCTGGTGTATAGAGCATGCCTGGAACCCCAGTACTCTTCAGAGCCGAGGTAGGAGGATCATGAGTCCACACTCAGCCTGGGTAACTTAGTGACAGACACTGTCACCTGACTGGGTGGGAAGGACCTGGGTCCAACCCCCTCTATCAAAAAAAAAAAAAAAAAAAAAGAGTGAGGCATGACCTGAGGCAATGAGGCCTCGGTTTGAGCTCAGCCACAAACATTCCGGCTGCTGAGTACCTGGGCAGGCTATACTCCTCACTGAGCCTTTTCCTCACCCTTTCCTCACCCGTACCAAGGGGGTGACACAGTTGACCTCAAAGGGGGGGTTGAGAATTCAGTGGCACATAAGTAAGGCACAGAGCACAGACCTGGCACTAACAGACACTTGGTCAGGTTAGTCAAGGGTCAAGCCCTCACATGTACTCTGAAGAAACCGAGGGCAGCTAGTGTAGAGCCAAGGGGGATCAGAGGGATGGGACGCAGATACACAGAGTCCCTTGAGCTGTGCACCTAGGGTCCAGACAGCAAGATGGATGTGCAAAGAGAGTGAGGAACATCAGCGGACACGTGGCTCTCTCTCACCATCCTGTTTTCCCACTGGGAGAGATAGGAGAGCTTCAGCACTTTTCTGTAGAACAGAAAACAGCAAGCAAGCTGAGTGTGGTGGTGCAGGTCTGTAATCCCAGCACTGGGGAGGCTGAGGCAGGAAGATGGTTGCGAGTTTAGGACCAGCCTCGGCTACAAAGTGAGCTCAAGGTCAGCCTGAACTGCATAGTGAGATCCTGTCTCAAAAAGAAAAAAAAAAGAAAAGAAAGAAAGAAAGAAGAAAGAAAGAAAGAAAGAAAGAAAGAAAGAAAGAAAGAAAGAAGAAAGGAAGAGAAAGAAAGAAAAGAAGTGAGTGACATTCAGCTGCAGCAGCAGGAAGACAGCAAGAAAGAACGAGGACCACACACAGATGATGTGTATGTCAATCATTAGAGGTGAGGAAGGGCTGGGGAGATAGCTCAGTGGAATAAGTGCTTGCCTGGCAAGTGCAGGGCCCTGAGTTCAATTCCTGGTTCTACAAAAAGAAAAAAAAGAGGAGCCCAGCTCATCTGCTGGCCCACTCTGCACAAGACAGTTTCTAATTTGAGTTAAATGCTTAGGTTCTTGGAGGAAATGGCCCTGTTTTACAGTAAATTTTCTAATTGTTTCTAGAGCGCAGGAATACTATAAATTTACATATATTGATCTTGCTATAGTTTCAGCTTCGCTGTTATTTATCTCACACCTTATGATCCTTCTAACATTGACAGTAGTACCTTGATTCACAAACTTAATTTCCTTTACAAATCTGGGGAAGATGGCTCCATCTGTGTTTGTGTGGGAGAGACGAACTTGGTTGTTTGCCACCTGAGGTGGAGTTTACAAACAGAAGCAAGTTTGCTAAATGCTTTTGTGAACCAAATTGTTTGCAAACAAGTGTTTATGAATGACTGCATTTCTGTATTTTCTTGTCTTATTGCTCTGGCCAGGCTGCTAAGGTAATGTTGAAGTCACAACAGAAGGCCTGGACCATTTGCCAGGCCAATCTCGTTGTCCTGGCTCACACCCTGCTTTCTTGGCCACCTCCCCAACAGACCTGCCAAAGTACCATGTTGAGGCCCAGCTCAAGCACTGTTCCTTCTGAGGAGCCCTCCTGCCTCCACCCCACGCCCTCCTGGGCTCTTCTGCAGGACAGGACACACAGCTTTCACTCTTCCCAGCCTTGTTCCTCCCTTCCTGAGTGGGCAGTGGGGCCCAGCACAGGGTCTGAGGGACAGCCCAGCCCTCTAGGAGCAGCCTCAGTCAAGCAGCTCCGCCGTACCCTGCCATGCCCCTCCTCCGAGCATTGGTCTCCTGTCCAATAACAGAAGCAGCACAATCTGGAGGGGCCCTTTCCCCTACCTACCTCCCACCCAGCTGGTTCTGCCCCACCCAACCCCTCTGGAGAAGGGGGTGAGAGGTTGGGGCAGGCAGAGGCCCACTGGGATGCCCTTCTAGATTCTATCAGACGCCTGGAGTTCACTAGGATCCTGAATCTTCACACATGAGTGCAAACCTCCTTCCCAGGCAGCTCAGATAGACCCTGTAGTCACTATCCCAGGAGCACCTGCTCCTCTGTGGAACCTCCACAGGTCAAGGCTGTGTGACACTTCTAAGCCTCAGCCTTCAGAGAGTGGTGCTGCCACCTGGGGGCTGAGAAAGGAACTGCCAAGGCCGGGGCCAGAGCCACTGGGACACAGAGTGGTAAAAACATTTATTGAGCACTTGCCAAGTCATTTGCACGTGTTTCATCACACCAGTTCCCCAAGACAACCTTTGGAGGTAGTGCAACTGTAAGCCCCACTGGACACTCAAGGAACACAGGGCTCAGAGGTGTGGTGATTTGCCCTGGGTCACATAAGTGCGTGGCAATGCAGACTTGAAGCCAGCTCTGGCTCCTAGCTATACTCTAACCATGCCACTTGAATGCCTCCTGAACATCAGCCTTGCAGAGTCATCTGTGGAGGCTGTGGGGAATCCAAACAGAGAAAGTCCAGCAGATAAGGACTCCGGTCACATCCAGCCTCCCAAGAGCAGCTTGCCTGAAGGCCACCAAGGCTGCCTGGAAGAGAGGTGAGTGAGACCACTGAGTCTTCTCTCTTGGGCAGTCCAACTACCAGTCAGGCTGTTCAGGCTCTCTCTTGCCATTGCTGTCCAGGAACTGTAGGTGACCCTGTCCCAATCCCAGCATGCAGAGAACCTCTCTGCAGAACAGGAACACAGAAGGGCAGCCATGGGCCAGGGCTCAGGAATGGCATCCCAGAAATGTCCTGCCACTGGGTGGCCCCAGGGGCTAGATTCAAGCACGAGCTCTGGGCACCCACAAAGCAAACTCAACAGGCTGAGTTCGCCTCACTCGGAGGCCTGGATGTAAACTGGCACCGCAAGCATGGCACACGGGCCCTCGGCCCCGGCCTGCAGCTCAGCCAGAGCCAGGTTGGAGCCCAGTGCCTCAGCGTGCCCAGGTACCACCAGCTCAGGGTCACTGCCCACTGTGCCGCCCACCACAATGGACAGCACAGCATCCGGCTCTGAGAAGGGTGGTTTGCCAGGGGTAACCTCAGGCACAGGCCCAGCCCCCGTATCCTTCAACTCCTCCAGCTCCAGTGGGTCAGGCAAGGAGGTCACCGCCTTATGCCCACCACCGCTGCCACCACTGCGGGGAGCTGCCCTCCTCCGGGGGGGCCTCCGGGTCTGCATGTCCTTGTCCTTCTGGGGGCCGAGGCGGCAGCGGTGGTCCTTGAGGTATTTGTGGCGGGAAAAGCCCTTGGCACAGCCCGCACAGCGGAACTTGTAGTTGCCCGTGTGGGCACGCTGGTGATCGGCCAGGTGGGCGCGGCGGCTGAAGGACTTGCTGCACAGTGCACACTTGTGCAGCTTCATACCTGGGGATAAGAGGGCGTCAGGAAGGCGCACTACTCCCCACCCTGAGACTCTAAGACTCCACCCCACAACCGCACCTCTCCAGACAGCATTCAATCCCCCTACAAGCACCTCTGTCATCTGGCCCTGCTCCCTCTACTCTCGCCTCCTCCCCTCTCCCCTCACCTTCTCCCCTCTCCCCACACACCACAGGCTCTTCCCCAATGCACTCAGCAGAGTCCTGCCTCTGGGCCATCATGAGCTGTTTCCTCTGCCCGCAGCAGCCTGCTCAATCCCTGAGCCTCAGCGAACTTTGCAGGCCCCCATTGTCTTCTCACCCAGATCATCAGAGGCAGCTACTTCCTCTGGCTACCTGCCTCTCCTGGCCCTCACACCATTCCCTATAGGGAGCTACGGATGTCTTTGTCAAACACACAAATAAGCGTGACAGTCACTGCTCCAAACTCCCTGCTGATTACCCAAGTTTCCTACAGAGGGGGTGTGACCAGACATACCCTCCCCCCTCAGCCCTGCCCACCCCGTGTCTCCCTCTCCCTGCAAAGCTGTTTGCTGACTCATCCCATAGCACTGGGCTCATCCCAGACTCCCTGGTCCCCACACTCCTGGGTTTCTCAGCCACCTCTGCTTCTCTCCAGCCCTGCACCCAAAGTCCTCCAGTCCTTGTTCACTTTCATTGTTCCCCTCTAAATGCTCAGCTCTACCCAAGGGCAGCATAGCTGCCGTCTGTCTATCTGGTGTCCATGGCCCGTGAAGCGTTAGGAACTCCTGGTCACACCCTCAGTGAATCACCACTGATGCTGTGCGTCCCCATGAAATCAGCTCCAGCCCACACCCATCCTGGGCCAGGCATCTAACAGGTGCCTTCAGGCTCTCAGAGCCATGTAGCCATAGGCCTGAGGACACCCAGCAGGAAAGGTCAGCGTCTAGGCTCAAGCCCAGGCTCTGCCTCACCCCTGATCTGCTCTTCTGGTTTTCAAACTTTCTTTAACTACTGAATCCTTCTGCAAACCACTAGTTCTCCAGCAGGGGTGACTTTACTTTCCAGAGGACTTGGGCAACACCTGGAGACACTTGGTTGTCTGTCACACTGTGGGAGGGATGGCACTGACATCTAGTGGGTAGAAGCTGGGAGGCCACTAAACATCCAACCCTCATGAAAGAATTATCTGGCCCAAAACATCAGGGGAGCCCAGGCTGAAAACCCTATTCAAGACTAAGTACATGGGAAGCCTCCCAGCCACATCTTGGCTCGTGCCTGATTCACATCCCTCCACCACTGGGTGCCACGCTGATTCTGTTGTCCCTTGAGGAGATGGGAGTGGAATGGGAGGGTTGGACTGGGGCACATGGTTCCTTTCCATACAGCCTATGGTCCTGAACATGGCCTGGCTTCCGGCAGCCAGCAGTGCAAACCTGTACTGTAAGGTGAGAGTGTGTCTGCTCCTCCTCCCAGGCCCCTGAGCTGAGCCACACCCCCAAAGATCCTAGGCCCCTTACCAGAATGGGACAGGATGTGAGCCTTCAGCTTGTCTGGCCGGTTAAACTCCTTGCTGCATCCTGTGTGTGTCCTGGAACCCAACACCACCAGTCAGGGAGAGCTCACTAGCTCCAGGCCATGGTACACCCTTGTCACCCTGGGGGCTGGGCCCGGAAGCAGGGTGGGGTGTGAGCCCACCATGCTGCCCCCATCCCGACCCAACTCTCTGCCAGCCTACACAGGTCCCACTCACAAGAAGGGGCATTTGTATTTCTTGAAGGGCTCGTGGATCAGCATGTGCCTCTTCAATTTGTCCTTGCGGTTGAACGCAGACTCGCACACTGAGCATTTATAGGGCTTCTCACCTGCAAGGGACACAGACAAGAGAGAGTAAAGATCCCAAAGGAGACTGCACTTGGAGACGATGGAGACCAGCTCCTCTCCAAAGAGGGTGGCTTGGGGGGAAACAGCCTCTTCTAGTCCTCCTTTGACTGGCCAAGTAGAAGGGGGGGGTGCTTTTTTTGAAATGGGGTCTTACTCTGTTGCCCAGGTGCCCTTAGACTCTCAGGCTCAAGCGATCCTCTTGCTTCAGCCTCCCTGTAGCTGAGAGACTCATGCCACAACACTCAAGGTGGCTGTTCTAGAAAGGCTAGTCAAAGAAGTCTCTCTGCTGAGAGAACACAGAAAAGACCTGAGGCTGCAGGAAAGAGACCAGGGTGAGGGTCCCAGGCAGAAGGGAAGCAAGGGCAAAGGTCCCAGTCAGGGCACCCACACTTGAGCGCCTGAGGGACAGTGGGGAGACCAGGAAGACTGGGACAGAGGTGGATGAGAAACTGAGGTAGGTGAGCTCAGAGAGGAAGGGCCCAACGGAGGACTGTGCAGTCAAAGGAAAGGACTCTGGCCTTCACTGAGCTAGTTAAGAAGCCAGCAGAGGGCATGAGCAGAGGGCGCACCTGACTGAAGGCCTTGGGCCCCTCGGGAAGCAGGTGGAGAGAAGGCAGGGCCAGCATGATGAGTGAGCCTCCCTAACAGATGAGAGGGACAGAGTTGGGCATGAGTCTGGGGCACAGCCTGAGATAGGTGATGGTCACAGAAATATAGCCAGGGGGTCCACTAGGAAAAAAAACACTCTGTCTGACCAAAGCTCAGCAACATGTCAGGAGGTCAGAACTTCCATTATCCCACCTCAGAGCTAAGCCTTTCGCAGCTCAGAGAGGCGAAGTGACTACACCATGGTCTACGCTGCAGCCCAGGCATCGAAGATTCCAGGCAGGCAATGCGATCCAGAGCCCCCTGCTGCCCCAGACCCACCTCCCACCAAATCCAACATGGGGGTACAGGTCAGGTATCACCCAAGGATTCCCTCAGGATCTCACAGAGCTCATATGGAGTCACAACCTGCCCTTTAAAAAGGATGGACTATTCTCAGGCTGACTTGATTTCCTGCCATTTTTTGCTCTCTGGAATGAACAAAGTACTTTGAAAACCGCCAACCTATTTGGTTATGGACAATCTGGTCCTTAGAATGGAACACTCTGCAGCCATTGAGAAGATTAAGGGCGCTGTGTCCCTGCAGCTGGAAAGACCTTCTGGCCACAATGTTGGAGAGAAAAGAAAGCTACAGAACAGCTGTCTTGTTTTTGTTATCACAAAAACCTAGTCACATGTGGTTTCTTTGCATATATGTATATGTGTATGAATGTAGTGGTTTGTGAGACAGGGTCTTGCTATGTAGTTTAAGCTGGCCTTGAGCTCACTATGTAGGGCAGGCTGGCTTTGAACCTGCATGATTCTCCTACTTCAGCCTCCTGAGTGCTGGGATTACAGGTGTGCCCAACATTCCTCAACCATGTGTTTTATTTATTTTTTTAATTATTTATTTATTTTTATTTATTACATTTATTTATTGTGTGTGTGTGGCCAGCTCAGCCCACCAGGGGGCGGGGCTGGCTGGCATGTGGTGCTGGGGGATCAAACCGCAGTCCCTGTGCTTTGCCAAGCTTGTTTCAAGTAGGTGCTTTAGACCACTGAGCCATCTCTCCAGCCCCAACCATGTGTTTTATATACAACAAAGATTCAGAAAGACTGGGGGAGGAGAGCACCAAATTGTTGGCAAAAAGCAGGATACGAAGGGAGAATTTAGCATTTTACTTTATGGCTGGGCATGATGGCCCTTGGTTATAACCCCAGCACTTAGGAGGATGAAGCAGGAGTATCACCATAAGTTTTAAATTTAAAAAAAAAAAATCTTTTATGGGGGCTGGTGAGATGGCTCAGTGGTCTAAAGCACCTACTTAGAACAAGCTTAGCAAAGCACAGGGACCACGGTTCAATCCCCCAGTCCCACATGCCAGCCAGCCGCGCACCCTGGTGGGCTGAGCTTGCCACACACACACACACACACACAAATAAAAATAAATTTTAAAAAATTTAAAAAAATCATATATATATATATATATATATATATATATGTATGTATTTGGTACAGGGTCTCACTACACAGCTCAGACTTGTAGCAATCCTCCTGTCTCAGCTTCCCCAGCTCTGGAATTACATGCGTGCACCACCACGCCTGGTTTTGGTGGCCAGCACAGTGCACCTGGGGTTCTGGGGCCAGCACGGCATGTGGTACTGGGGATTGAACCTAGGTCCTTGTGCTTGTCAGGCAGGCATTTAGACTGCCAAGCTATCTCCACAGCCCCATTACTGTAAGTTTGAAGCCAGCCTGAAGTACACAGTGAACACTAAAAAAGAGGTTTTTACTTTAAGTACTTCTATATTGCTTTCACTTTTACAATCAGTACATATTACTTTTTTTTTTTTTTTTTTTTTTTTTTTTTTTGTGGAACCAGGGATTGAACTCAGGCCCTTGCGCTTGTTCTACTGAGCCATCTCCTCAGCCCTACTTTTGAAATATATATGTATATTGGTGAAGGGTCTACAGGGTATTCTAGATTGGACTTGTAGTGATCTGCCTGTTTACAGCCTCCCAAGAGCTGGGATTACAGGCATGTGACATCATGCCCAGCCTCAAATGCCTTGTCATCATAGCACACCCTGGGGGAGGGCCGGAATGGCAGGCTGGGGGATTGAGCCCCAGACCCCTGTACCTGCTTGCAGGTGCTTTAATCTGCTGAGCAATTTGGCTGGCCCTTTGAAAAATAACTTTAAAAAACCATAAAGAGAGGGACTGGGGCATAGCTTAATGGTAGAGTACATATGAAGCCCTGGGCTCAATGCCTAGTACCCAAATAAAAATTAAAAAGCAAAGAAGGCAATTTCACAATATCTACCGAAATTATAATGCACATGCTTCTTTTTCTTTTTGATTGTTGTAAAATAGACATACCATTAAATTTAGCATTTTAGCCATCTTTAAACACATAGTTCAATGGCATTAAGATCAGTAAGCCACCACCACCATCATCTCTAGAACATTTGCATCATCCCCAAAGCAAACTCAATCCTACACACACATTTTAACCTAAACCTTACACTGCTGGGAATAAATACTACAGATCCACTTCCAAAGGGATCCACACAATGTAGTGGCAAATTCCAAACTAACAGCTGAGAAGCAATTTAAAGGCCTTGAGGGCCCAGGAGATGGCTTAGTAGAATAAGCGCTTCCCTGGCAAGCACAAGGGCCTGAGTTCAATGCCCAGTTCCACAAAAAAAAAAAAAAAAAAAAAAAAAAAAAAAAAAAAGGCCTCGGGCTACAGTATAGCTGGGCAGTGGGGCACTGGCTTAGCATGTTCCAGGCTCTGCATTCTATCCCCAGCACTGCAAAAAAGTAATAGCCTAAGGGTCCATCTTATGGGACAGGAGAATATCATACCAGTGCAAAAAGGAAGGGGCTATTGGGCCAGCGAGATAGCTCAGTGGACTAAAGTGCCTAGTTAGGCAAGCTTAGGCAACCCCAGGGACCTCAGTTCGATCCCTGGCACCACATCCCCTGGCAGCCCTGCCCCCAGGGTGTGCTGAGCTGGCCAGAGTCTGGGTGTGGTGGTACAAGCCTGCAATCCCAGCATTGGGAAGGCTGATAACAGGATTACTGTGAGTCCCAGCTGCTTAGTGAGACCCCAGCTGCTTAATGAAACCCTGTAACAACCGAGTACATTAAAAAAAAAAAAAGGTGCTATTTTAGAACATCTTCAAGATACACAAACTAAGAAATAAGGTTTAAAATTATTGAATTACATGCTCATTTATACAAAAGTAAGCAAGTATGATGTACAGATACAGACTAAAACTAGAGTGACCCACACTAATTGAACCCATAAAGTTAATTTTAAAATAAATAAATAAAAGCAATGGAGCCAGCTGACTATGGAACCACTAAAATTAGTTTTTAAAAAATAATGATTGGGCCTGGGGAGACAGCTCAGTGGAATAAGTGCTTTCCTGGAAAGCACAAGGTCCTGAGTTTGATCCCTGGTACCAACAACAAAAAGAAAGAAAGAAAGAAAGAAAGAAAAAAAAAAAAAAAAAGAATGATGCCCAATGTGATGGTGCACGCCTATAATTCCAACATTTAGGAGGCTGAGGCAGGAGGACCACAGTGAGTTTGAGGCCAGCCTGAATTGCATAACAAAATTCTGTTGCAAAAAGAAAAAAGAAATCTATACTACACAGTAATAGAATGAATTAGAAATAGCTTAAAAATTGCAAACTGTGAGTTACAATCTGTAGTAGACTTCAGTCTTTGTTCGGAGGCATGGTGTCACTATGTTGCCCAGACCAGCCTAACTATGAGGCACAAGTGATCCTCCCACCTCAGTCACCCAAAGAGTTGGGACTACTGGTGTACACCGATGCCAGGTAGTAATCATTTTAAAAACAAGAACTGGACCAAAAAAGTACTGCTTTGCAAAATTTGTTTTAATATACTCTATGTGCATATATATATGACTTCAATGTAACACATATAATTTTAGGGCTGGCAAAATAGCACGGGGAAGGTGCAGGGAGATAGCCATCTATCTATAGCCACAAGTGGAATAAGTGCTTGCCTGGCAAGCGCAAGGTCCTGAGTTTGATCCCTGGTAGCACCAAAAAAAAAAAAAAAAAAAAAGATAGCTCAGTGGACTAAGCACGTGCTTAGGCAAGCGCAGGGACTGAGGTTCAGTCCCCCATACCACATGTCATGCTGGCTCTGCTCCTGGGTGCACTGAAAAGGCCACCAAAACCAGGCATGGTTGCGCATAGCTATAACCCCAGCTCTGGGGAGGCTGAAAACAGGAGAATCACTACAAGTCTGAGGAGCCAGGGAGATGGCTCAGTAGAATAAGTGCTTGCTTGGCAAGTGCAAGGGCCTGAGTTCAATCCTCGGTACCGCAAAAACAACCAAAAAAAAAAAAAAAATTAAAGTTCAACAGAAAAAAATTAATGTCAATATGTCTCAACTGGGGAAGCAAGGAAAGGGGTCTTGGTATAGGTTTGGCTGAGAATTTTGCAGCAAGAGCAGCACCCCCAGTCTTGGGGCTCAAAGTGGTGGAATGGAGTGAGGTCCCCCCAGCTCTGCGGCCCATCTTGCTCCAGCAAGGGTGATATCGCCTTTCCATAAGTGCAGCAGGTAGTAATGGGCCAGGAAGGGGAGGAAGAACGGGGAGTCAGGGGGATGAGGAGAGGCCTAATGGGGTGTAGAGGGAGGAGGGAAGGGATGGAGGGGGCTGGAGGGCACCAGAAGCACCAACGGGGACAGGCAGGGGAGGGACTAAAGGGACGAGGAGGGGGAGAGGCTGGGCACTGGCACCTACCTGAGTGGATGTGGGCATGCAGCTTGAGGTAGTACTCGCGTCGGAAGAACTTCTTGCACACCTGACACTTGAACCGGCCCCCGCTGCCATGGGTGGGCAGGTGGCGCCGCAGGTATCGTTCACAAGGAAACACCTAGAGGAGAAGAGTGGCTTCAGGTCGCCCCCACCAGGCCCCCTCCAGAGCTCACAGGCCTGTACAGACCCCTTCCTGTCTGCCTCCAGGGGACGGAACCCAGCATCACATCAGCCCTCAGGACCTCCAGGATCCTGTTCACTCATGGGTAAGCCGTCAGGACACAGCCATACTGGGCTTCTGCCAGGCTGTCCTTCTAGAAAGATAGGCATACTTTCTCCCTTAGTCTCACACATTCTTAGTGAATCTTCAAGAGCCAGGCAGGGATTGGTGAGCTGCCTGAGGCATGCCTTCGCTGGCTCCCCTGTGCCATGCTAGGCAGAGCCCATTCGGCTTCTGAGTGATCACCCACATTTTTAAGTCAGCATTTAACCCACTGAAAAGCAGCCCCCTTTGCTTACACAGGGCTCTAAAAAGACAGAGGGGCTTTTATTCCCCTCAGAGTCAGGCCTGAGGTCAAAAGACTGATGAAGGAATGAATGAAAAAGTGAACAAACAAGTAAGGAAACAGATAGCAAAAGGCCAGAAAGCACAGTCACTTTTCGATCCAGGCACAAGATGAACATTCATTCATCCATTTGATGTAAAGAAGAGATGAAGGGCACAAACCCAGCCACCACACTGGTTCTCAGGCCTGTCACTGGCTTCCCCACCCATAAAATGGGAATAGTAAGAGCCTAGCTTCCTCCTGGGGGTCTTTGGGTCAATTCAGGTAAAATGCTCAGCACAGCACCTGGTACGTGCTTCTTGCTCAATTCTGATACCTTTAAATCCCAAAGCCTGAGCTTGGGCTATATAATTAGAAGTGTCTAGAATGAGGTCAAGGTAAATCAGAGCTGTCCTGGAAAATCCGCTACACAACGTTGCTAAAAAATTAGGAGAGGGGCCGGGGAGATGGCTCAGTAGAATAAGCGCTTGCCTGGCAAGTGCAAGAGTCTGAGTTCAATCCCCGGTTCCGGAAAAAAAAAAAAATTAGCAGAATAAGGAAACAAGGTAAACCCATCTGGGGATATAATCAGCAAAACCCAGGTTGCGGGAAACTACGCAGGACCTGTGGCCCTGTTTCTTCAATAAATAAATTAAAAGGAAACTAGAAGGGAGAAATGGTTTGGGCAGGGGTGTGGTATAGATTAATGGAAGCTTTTATTGTATCAGTCAACCACAAGCTGGAGACCTGACGCAAATAAACTTTAAAAAAATGATGATGGCCTGACCCAGTGTCCACTGGAACACTTGTTGGACATTTGATGGCTTTAGGACAGGCTGCCAGAGTCCCGCAAAAAAGAACCAATAATAACAAGGGTAATGGTACAGCCTTAAGGAAGCTAGCAGTGGACCCACCTTCTGGCAGTGCGGGCAGGGGAAGTTGTGAGTGGCAGTCTGCAGGTGGTGCTCCAGGGCTTCCTGTGTGGAGTATTTTTTGACACACTTGACACACCTATGTGGGAAGCAAGAGGAGAGGTGAGGAGACCCAGCAGCGGATCTGTCTCTTGCTGCCCCAGGGCCAAACCAGGAGGCAAAATCCTCATTTAATCCACTCTCAAATCCATCTGCTCTTCCGCTTGCCGCTTCCTCCATCCTCCCCAACTTGCATCAGCTCCTGCTCCGGCAGCTGCAGTCGCTCCTCTCGGGCTTGCAGTCTGCTCTCCGTAAGACAGCCAGGAGTCTTTAAAAAGCTACACCAGGACCACAGATCAGTGGCAGAGGCCCTGCCTAGCCTGTCTGAGGCCCTCAAGTCCATCTCCAGCACCAAATAAGTGAATAAATAAAAGTGAAAACCAAGACAAGGCCTTACAACCCGACCCACTCCCTCCCACCTCTCAGGTCACCTTTCTTCTCTTGCCACCTGGCACCCTTCACAACATGTCAACTGGAGGGGACTGAAAACTACCAAGGAGGTCGGCAGAGCACAGTTCTGAGGGTGCCTGTGGACGAGTGACACACAGACCTGCCAACTGAGGGACGAGGACCTACTTTGGATGTGAGTGGCATCAACCAAGAGACTTGTGGCCTGAACCAGGGCAGAGGACCAGAAGGAAGTGTCCATTGTGGAAGAGCTCCAGCCTTCGCCACTGCTCTGGGGTATCAGCTTCCAATTTCTTCAGCCTTCAAATGCAGACTCACACCAGCGACTCTATAGTGAGCTTCTTTCCAGGCCTTGACTTTGGCCTGGTGCTACATCCTCCATCCCTCTTGTGATGTGGCTTCTATCTTCAAGTAGCTAGCTGCCCAATCCTGTGTGGGCAGCCACTGTGGACTCCTCTGCCTATGATCCTGTAAGCCAACCTAATAAATCCTCTTGCATAGTTGCACACACATTTCCTCACGGTTCTATTCTGTTCCTTTAGAGAACCCTCACTAATATCCCAACTGCTTCACTGCTCTGTCCACCTTCAACAACTGAACACAGCAAGCTTGCTCCTCCCTCTGGGCCTTAGTACTCGCTGTTGCTATTACATGAACTTGCCCAAGCCCTCCCCAGAGCAGCACTTTCTCATCCCTCACATCTCAGCTTGAATATCATCTTCTTAGAGAGGTCCTCCTTGGCCACCCTGCCTCATTGCCCCCCAACAATTCACTCTAGCCACTCCCTATTAGGTCTTTCAGTTTATTTTCTTCTTAGCACTCATTATTTGGATTTTGTTTGTTTGAAACAGGGTCTGGATATGCAGTTCAGGCTGGCCTTGGGCTCACTTCTGTAGCCCCCAGACTGGTTTCTTTTTTTTTGGCGGAACCAGGGATTGAACTCAGGCTCTTGTGCTTGCCAGGGAAGCGTTTATTCCACTGAGCCATCTTCTTGGCCCTTCCAGACTGGTTTCAAACCCACAGTGATCCTCCTGTCTAAACCTCCCAAGTGCTGGGATTACAGGCCTGTGCCACC